AGTAGCTAACCGAGTCGACGTGGGATTCCGGGGTTATTCCTTTCTCGCAAAATAAAAACGACGCGTTGATCCTGGACGCGGAAACAAATTTATTCTCGAGAGAAGTGGAACATAACTGGGTAATGTGCCTGCGTGTGACTCCGCGTTTCCACTGATACCGCGAAATGAGAGCGGTGTGTTATTCATTTTGTGGATTTCATTCCGATTTCATTTACGGAGTAATTCCTGCCGGATTACGGCGCAAATGTTTGCGAAAACGGGGACAAGTAGAAGCGCCCTTTAATGGTCGGACAGACGAAGACGAATTTACAGGCGAAACAGTGTTCGAACTTCTATTGTACTTTTCTATTTCTCTTAGGCAGTTAGTAGATGCCTATCAAAACTAGTAATTTGAACACTTGAAAATTAGAATTTGTTCAATTTCAAAATTTCGGAGTTTGAAAATTAAAGTTTGTTCCATGTCAAACTTTCGGAGTTTGAAAATTAAAGTTTGTTCCATGTCAAACTTTCGGAGTTTGAAAATTAAAGTTTGTTCCATTTCGAGCTTTCGGAGTTTGAGAATTAAAGTTTGTTCAGTTTCAAACTTTCAGAGTTCGAAACTGAGAATCCCTTTAATTTCAAAATTTCACAGTTCGGAAACGTACAAATTTCAAAATTCTAAAGTTCCCAATTCTCTAGTCAACAACAGAAGTGCTTGAATAGAACAGAATCACATTTCTTGTCCGAATAGTTTTCCTCTATCGTCTATCTCAGTCTTTTCAACATGAAAGCCAGAGATTCGGTAGCATTATAGCGAAGTAATAGGTGATTAACCCTTTGAACTCTGCAGGCTCCAATATTGCACCAGTTGCAATATTAAATACTTTAACGAATCTTAAAGAAACTACCCTAAAATTATTAGATTTTCCACACATCCGAATTCTGTACTAAGAAGAAAAATAAAAGATCGAAGAAATGTTGCATTTCTAATTTTCACTAGGAAACTATAAGAATTATTTGCAGTTGCTGATAGATTACAAAACAACCACGTACCGAAAACCAATTCTCTTTGTTTAGCATTCATTCTCCTAGGGAGTAGAAATAACTCACCCTCCCCTTTATAGGCTCCATTTCCCGAGATTCACCTGAGATCCAAACAGCACCCCTGTCCTCGTGTTCGCGAGTCGCTTAAATCGGTGCCGTCTGAACGGCGTTCACAGTCTCGTTATCTACGCGAACGGAAGCTCGAATATCGCGGGCACGGTCGCGCAATAACCGTCAAAGGGGGCGACGGGTGCAAACGGCTTTCAGCTCCGAGGGCGGAGACAGCTCGCAATTGAACCCGAGGGGATGGCGGAGAGGCTGGGCGAAGGGTAGGGGTTGTTCGTCGACCGGCAGGTCTCTGTTTGCGAGATTACACTTGACGTATCAACGGACAAACGGGCCAGCCGATGCGAACCGCGCGACGGAGCACGGCAATCTTCATTTCGGGCCCAGGGACACGGGAAATGAGACGGCCGACGGTAATTTCTGAATAGAAGAAACGATAGGCGAACGACGGAACGATCGGGCACCGCTGGAACGTTGAAAAATCCATTTTAATTAACCCCTCCGAACTCGATTCGTCACCCAATTAGCGGTATCTTGACATTATTCTCGTCAGCTTGCAATTGGAACGTAAATTTTCGTAACGACAGCGTACACGTAGAGCTATTGACAGTAAGTTCGTTTCAAAGTCGAATCTCTATCTAACAATATCTCGATATTATTTCCTATTTTATAATTAGAACGGAGAATTTCACAGATCAGAGGCATCGTTCATTCAAATTCACAATTTCTCCATCGATTAACCGTCCTCAAGCTTCTCCAAAGCGATAAAGTAGAAGACACGGCAGACCTGAAGGACCGAAAGTCGATTTCAAAGAAATATTTTCTGCGACGCACTAGCGAGCAGATTCTAATATCCCGACCGAACAGTGGAAATACACTTCCCTCCGGCGTAGAAGCTCGCAGAGAACACAGCAAAATGAATTATCCAATTTATTCTCCGACGATTATTGCTCGCGGAAACGAGTCGCGCGCGTGCATTCTCCCTCTCTTCGCGGAGATCCAAAGCGATCCCGTTCCTTTTTGCGGACGGGCTGACGCTGTCCCTCTTCCAGCCCCGCGAGGGCGTACCCCCGTGAAACGCTGAACGCCGCGCAAATATTTGCTCCGCGAGTTTCCTCGAAATTACGGTGAATCCGCGACAACGCAGCGCCGCGCGGTCCGCGGGTAATAGCAACAATGCAGTCTTTATGCGCTTCTGATCCGGGGAAGACGGCGGAATAAAATAAAAGGGGACGGCGCGCGGCAGAATTGTGCGCCAACTTGAAAGAAGTAAATGAGAGCCCGGGAGATTGGATAGACTTTATCCGAGACAAAGGGGATTACTTAGCTGCAATCCAAAATGGATCTTCCCCCGCGAGCGGAATGTTTAATGTTCCCTGCATCGCTTCGATCGGCAGAGTACTTTGTAACGATGCAGAAGTTTGCGTACCGATGCACCATGTGCAGCGGAGGTCTTCGATCGTATGGGCTTCTCCATGTGTTTCCAGGAAATGAGACTCTTCTAGATGGAAACTGTCTGTTTAGCTGTATTGGTTTTGTACAGTGATGTAGTTGTATTAACCCTTGGGACTCGAGGTTGTTTTGTAATCTATCAGCAACTGCAATTTTTGTAGTATTTTTAGCGAAAATGAGAAATGATGTTTCTTCGACTTTTTGTTTTCCTTCTCAGTGCAAAATTTGGATATGTGGAAAATCTAATAATTTTAGGGTAGTTTCTTTAAGATTTATTGAAATATGTAATATTGTAACTGGTGCAGTATTGGAGCCTGGAGTTCAAAGGGTTAAATGTTGGTTGTAAGTTTATTAGTTTTAATATGATTTTTTGAAAGGTATAGTGGAGAATCTGTTACATTGGAAACTTTGTCACACTAGCTCAAAGAAAGTTTGAAATAATAAAATGGTAAGTTTCTCTCTAGGCTACCAACTAAAATTCTTTGTCATTCGACAGAAAAATTTATTGTTGAGCAGTGACGATAGTTGTATGAAATATTACGATATTAATATTTTTAATAAGACTTTTTGGAAGTTTTTGGAAGTTATAATGGAGGATCTACTTGGAAACTTTGTTACACCAGCTCAAAGAAAGTTTGAAATAGCACGAATGATACAAAATTTCCCTCTACCAGCTAAAATTCTTTATTATTCGACAGAAGAATTTATCACAGAGCAGTGACGATACCAGTAATTTCCACGAATACCCTGAACCTTCGAAAATTCAAGAATATCTGCGCTGTCAAGCAGAAGCAGTATGGATTCAATGGTTAACGAGCTGTAACCTATTTACAACCGAAAAGGGACGCTGTTTGCGAGGCTGCGAGTGGTTACCCCGCGGTGCAACCCACCCCCGAAACGAAATCCACTCGGAAAGTAACCGGGACAAGAGAACGGCGTTCGTACGCGGCCTGGAATTTACGGGCGACCGATATTTCGGGCAATATCGAGGCTCGATCGAGCGTGTTCCCAGTTTCGCCCTGGAACTCTCCGTTCGTAAGCGGGTTAGGCGGGATCGAAGAAAGGATACTCAACAAGTTGCGGGCTGAGGACTTAAGGGGTGGTCGGGGGAGAAGAATAGGAAGCGACAGGATCGAAGACAGGATACGCGAGCCACGGCTAGCATGCGGAAGCGTGTTTACGCGACGAGGACGTGATTCGGCGTACCGATCCCGTCGCGACGGAACGCGGGCGACGATTTTCTGGGGTACCGCGAATGGCCTTACGAAAGCGGGGGTGTGGCGATTACGGCGGAGCAGTAAATACAGTCGGGCTATAAACGCGAGTTTCTAACGAGAGTTTGGAATTATTAGGGTTCTCGGTTTGTCTCCGGCGTTCCGGGGATTTCCGCTGATTTAAGAGGAATTCAGCAGTTTCTGCTTATAACTTCGGAGCTTCGGTTTTTGGAAATTATTCTGTTCGGCGATTCGATTGTCGCTTAACCCCTTGTCCTACAACGAGTGAGACTCGTGAAGATTTTCAACGTGATTCAAGAAATATCACTCAGTTCATTCGAATTCGAAATAAATATTATTCCTCTGTAATCAACTATTATACTTAAGAGGAAATCTAGGCATAATATATGCTTAGAATTTTTCTTTTTCCAATAAATCATTAATAACATAGTAGCTGTATCGACCAGAGTTGAGAAATAAATCATGAGCTA